CCCCGGTGCCATATCTGAAAAAAGACGAAAGGGGAAGAAAGAAAACACAGAGTGGCTGCATTCTCAGGCAGAAAAGGGAATAGACGATCTTTAGGAAAGTTCAGAGGATTAATTTGACACAAGGCACTGGGCAGAGAGGATGAAGAAGAAGAAGAAGAAGAAGAAGAAAAAATGCCTTCTTTGTCAGAGTAATTGCTCTCAGCCAGTCTAGTGTGCAAACTGGGTAGAGATTATAGGATTTATTTCCATGTAGATTTTCAACGGAGACGCTTTGCTGGAGCCATTCTGTTCCCTTCAGCAGAACGTGTGGCCTGGGATGTTCTGTATAAATCCATAAATCCATAAATACTGCCAGAGCCCCATGTCTTTTATTCCCCGGGACAGTGAGGCGGAGCAAGTGCACACGGATCAAATATGTGTGTGTCAGGGCTAACAAATGGAATGTCAACATAAATGACAGCACGGTATATATTCAGCGTACAGGAAGCTGAATGGCAGCTGCAAACGGCCTGCTCATTGTTTTTGCAGTTTGAAAACAAGGCGTAGTTCAGGGTCAGATGGCAGTAACTCTTTCACTGAATCATAATGATTTCTACATTTAAAGGTGGATAAAGCTGAAGCAGAAACAGGGATGGAAGTCCTAATTATAGATGCTATCTCAGAAGTGTACAATAATTCATTTATTTGATGTGGAAAACACAGAACCATCCCGAATTTAGGGGAAGAGATTATTATGAGATCAAAAAACCTCAGCGCATATTTGCATTTGCTACTTTGTTTACCAGAATACTTCAAACAATGCATTACCATTTCAAAGCTGGTCAAGTACGTGTAATTCCTTGTCCACACATGAAAACAAGATGAAATTGTGTTTGTCGATTGGATTTCATTATATATTTACTTGCATGGCCGCCGACCGAGAATAAAAGTGCATTTGTAAAGCATCAGCTTATCTTAGCAGTGAACTTGGGCTGACTCTCTCATGACTTGCATAAAGTAATTGGAGTAAATAGCATTGGGTGCATGAGAAGATGCCTCATGCAGGACAGATGCCTCAAAGACATTTCTGAGGAATCAAAGGCTCCCTCTGTTAGAAAAGAGTCCTAATGTTTTATTCCACATATGTCGCTAATCAAAGGGCCCTCAGAGCACCTTCTGCTTTCAATCCGGCGCTTTGACGGGCTACTTTACATGAGCAAAGGCCCCGAATGTTGCTGGTGTGTGTTAGTGTGGCATAAAAACAGGTCCCATTACATTCAATGCAGCCCACAAGGGAATCATACGCACGCACGCATGCTTCTGTTTCCAAACCATTCTCTAATGGTAGCCTCTTTATGTCGCCTTACTGCACAGCAACATCATTTAATACAAACAAGAACAAACACTACTAGTTTGAACACGCCTAAATGACACCAGAGTCAAATAAACAGTTGCAAGTCTTCAGAGGAGACAGGGTATGATAAAACATTTATTTTGTGTAATGAAGTTACATCTAAACCAAAGCAGAACAACCAAAGAATGTTTCATGTACTTTGTTCCAGGTTCCACGGCGACCTCAAATCCCACTGGAGTGTAAATAAACTGTTCAAGTAAAAAAAAACTTCAAGGCCGAGCTTTCACACGGCGGTGACTCACAGCACATGTGTAGGCTTGTTATCTTGATTGTTTCTCCTCATTTGTGGGGAAGTCTTCTCCTGCCGTCGCCTTCAGGGCTGCAGCCGGTCCCAGGCGGTGTGTGACTCTCCATGGGTGGCAGGGTGGGGAAGGGCCTCGGGTTGAATTGGTTCAGGAAGAGCAGGCCTGTCAGGGTCTACTGTAGCCTGGTTGGATGCTTTTGGGCCCGATGGGACCTCATTTTAAAGATTGGACTGGGGTCAGTGATATTGTGTGTATCAGATGTTCAGCTATTATACCTATACCTACTATACCTTCAATTTGATGATAACCATGTGCAATGGTGGATGACCTCCTGTTTCAACACAGAAGACATTTTAAATATTCTGTAACTTGCTGGTGTTAAAATACAAATCTGACATTGGATTAAACTTAAATGTAGTGCTAAGAAATCTTGGGCATAGTAGAAGAATTGATCCACAACCTGACCCTTTAATGTCACTAAAAACACACTTTAGATTTAGTCTTAAATATTATGTATATCGCTTTTTTTTCCTTCAGCCATTTATCGAAAATAAACAACATGAAAAACAAACCCATGAAATGGTTTCTTAAGAGATATAAGGGATATACATTACATGCAATTAAGATCTAACTTGGACAAAAACAAGAAATAATCTAACATAAGTGGTTCAGAAATGATTTATGATATATCCTGACATTCTAAAAAGGCTCTCTTTGCAATATACATTCTTTCTTCTTAGACCACTGATCCTACAGCTTGAAACCATTTGATAATAATTTCTTCTATAACTATGTGAGATAGATAAATGACAACTTTACATCCATGTGCTCTGAATTCAAGTCCCTCATATTTATGTCAGTCTTTAAAGTGCTGTTAGCTCAGTTGTGGTAGATCCTTCAAACACCAAATCCATGAGTGCTATTAAAGTTCAACCATGGGGCCTATATTGCCTAAAACATTTTCATTTCTTTTTAAATAATAAGTTGCTGCACAAAGTGTTTGGATTCCATCTGATCTGAGAGTGAGGTGAGGGCTTCTTGGTAAACACCGTACGCTCTCTCTGTTCCTCATCTGGTAATCTTTTCAGTAAACCAGTTCATCTCTGTTTCTCGTTCAAGCACAGAGCCATCGTCTAAAGAGTGAAAGCCCCTCCTCCCCGCACACATTACAGAGAGCAGCCTCTCCTCTGACACACGCACTCACCAGATGTTTCCCAAAGCTATAGGGAAGACCCCCAGGTATGTGCGTGTGCGCGTGTGTTCATGTCAGTTTCGCACAATTGGCTTTTCTTGCGCATCTGCCGAGATTTATGACCACCATTTTTCTTACAGTGTCGCTTCCTCTTTTGAAATCCCATTGGGGCAAAGGATCAGGGATCGGAGAGGGAAGCAGGTTCTTCCACCCAAAACAGGTGACTCAGACTCACCCTGCTGAAAAGAGGGTTAAAAAAACCCTCCCTAATCCCTTGACACTCACACGCTTTTTTATCTATAGGCGCTTCACACGAAACCCATCTGCTTCTCATATCAATGCACTTGCCAACAACTGGGGTCTCCTAGTCCGGCCTGCAGGGGTCAAGAGGACAACATGGAGTAATGAAATCAAACTGGCCGAAAGAAAAAGTCTGCTGTTGATCATTGTAGAAAAAGGGCTTTCATTATACAGTATTATGATGGAGGGAATGCAAAAGGGGATATTAAAGACTCAGCAGAGCTCTTTGGGTGTGAGTAATGATCGGACAGAGTGCAGCGAGAGACAGATTTACTGTTCCCCTCAGGCCTCAAAGTGTTAAGGGTGCAAGCTGATACAGCAGAGCACCCACTAGGTTACATGCTGCGTTGGATAACATGCTAGGATGAGACCTATTGTATTTTGATGGCTTTACATTACCTCAAGAGATACATCTGCTGGATTTATGGCTGTAATGTCCGTTTTGTGGTGATGACATTACTGTACTGTATGAGAATATCGCTCCTATACATATCCACATATCACAATAGAAGTATGGCGACAGAAAGATCATTTTATTGTCTATAAAAGCTAATGTTTCTTCAGACCATATGGTATCTGTTATCTTAAATGGTATTTCTAAACCTTCAGAGGACCATATTCTCTGTGCCCTATTAAACTCTCAGTCCCAGTGGAATGGCAGCCAACCGTCCACTGTCGAAGTGAGGCTTGTACAGAAACGACCATAAATCATACTATATTCAATTATAATACTCTTTCACGAGTTAAGTTTGAAGCTTGAGCCATATTCTTCTTACTGTATATGCTGCACAAAATGATATTGATTAGCCCATGCTATGAACAAAAGGATATCTTCTGCAAAGAATGATATCCAAGCTATTTCATACACTCAAGTCCTATAATTATGTTATTTGCAATATCAACCAAAAGGGATAAAACACAAAACATATGTCTTGTGCAACCTCACAGGAAGAATTCTGTCTACATATGCTTATTGCATGTGACCGAGGTGAAAGCTAAAACATTGCTGCTTCTCTACATTTGCTCTTTTGACACTCAATCAAAGGCAATATGGAAAGAAATGGACCGTTGTTCAAATAGAGTTAAACCTACTTCAGAGTCGGGGCTTTTTTTTATTCAGGGTTAAAGCTTCTCCAAATTCTTTCACAATCCGGGCTAATGTCCACATTTTCTCCTCTCCTGCTTCACCTTCATTTCACCTGTTGCGCATGTGTCACAGATGCATGTGAGACTATTTCCATTCTTACCAGACTGAGTCTTTCAAAGGCCTCCCCCTTCCCCAGGATGCAGACAGATTTGGCAGGAGCTCTGTGATGCCGGGCCAAATGTAAGACCTGCCTTTCCCCTGGAGTTGAACATCATAAATTTGACTATTGTCTTTATCGCCATAGGAGTGATCACAGGATGTTATTAGAAGTTCAGCCAGCTCGAGGAAAAACATCCCGGCCAACCGTCACATTGACCTATCAGGAATGGAAATAAAAGAGATGGAGAAACAGGGAGGAAGTGTTTTTATCAGACTTTTTCATTGCCACTTCAACAAATGTGGGAGCCACATTTTGAGTTAGCTGTAGCAACTGCAGAGGTTAAACTTGTTTCCACATTCTTTCAGTTATGAGGAACTCAAAATCCTGATACTTTTTTTCTCTTTTAACTGCTGAAAGAAGAAGGAAGAATCTGGCAACCAGATGACAAATAGAGTCCTTTTGTGTTTTATAGGTTGTCTTAGATTAACTTTATACATCTGAAACTTATACATAAGATAGAATGGAAGCTTGCATTGCTTCTTACATCTCTCAAACCTTTTGTGATTGTTACAGCAGCACATTCAAGGGACATTATTGTTACAAGAATTTGAATCTAGCCGCTATTTATTCACTGAAAAAGAATTTTATATTGTATGTACAGAGAATGGCAAAAACAGTTCTTAATGATACACCGATGTAAAAAGGAAAATTGCACTGTGCTTACATCTAAATCATTTGTTACCACCATAGTACCATATTGTGGATAATAAAAGACAATGAAGGATGGTCATAAAAAAACACAATGAAACAATAACAATATGTTTCTAATTTCTCCCAGGATGAAAAAGAAAATCCCCGAAACAATATCTTTATGGGAAGAATCCATATGTCACAGAGGCGGCGCACAAACATTAATTACACAACAGAAATAATAAACGTGCATTATGGGATATTATTACATTTGCATATGAGAGAAAAAAAACCTCATTAGATATCACAGGCACTTGAACCCCTCCCCAGTTCATAATGGAGACATGTAAAACATCAGTTATTACAGCTTCTATAGTGTTGGACCTCCTCTCACACACACACACACACACACACACACACACACACACACACACACACACACACACACACACACACACACACACACCCACACACACACACACACACACACACACACACACCACACACACACACACACACACACACACCACAACACACACACAAACACACACACACACACACACACACACACACACACACACAATTCTGCAGTGGAAAAAGAAACATCTGAAACAGACGGAGAGATGAACGAGGAGAAGAAAAGACAGCTAAAGTGAGCGTGGCCTGGTGGGTAACCTCCTGTTTGTACCGCAGACTCCAAGGAATATCTGTGATTACTCCATTGACTGAATCATCTGCGGGGTCAGGTCCTCCTATCTTCTCTCCCTCCTACTCCTCTGCTCTGCTCTTCTCCCACTCAGCAGCCAAGTGGTTCATATGGCTGCCAAGACATATTCATAGACATATTGGAGCATCTAGTTACTGGCAGCGTTTACAGACACTTAAACACATGTCCACCCACACACACTAGAACATTGGGAGACCGACATGATAGTACTGTTTTCTACATCAATTATATAATTAAGAACACTCTACTTGTGAGACCCATAGACCCTTTAGGGCAATAACTTTAGATTCCTACCTATACTACCCATCGCATGGTTCATAGAAACCATGAACTCTAACTTCTAGATGTACAAATTCAATGGGTCTTTCAAATATGGCCTTGCATAGTTCGTAACTTCCTGTTCCTATTGTTTGTTAACATGCACTTACTGTAAGAGGCCAGGTAACAGTTGTATTTTCCGGTGATTTTATGATCATAATGTAAACCAGAAACCCGTTTTTTGTAATCTGGGAAGAGGGATTACAGAAACCTGATTTACAAAGCCAGATTTCTCCTGGAAAAGCCAGATTTCTTGGCTATGTGTGCATTTGCATGACAAAGACTTCAGACAGAGAGAAGAGCAGGGACAGCTGTGCAGAGGGAGAGATCATTACATGTGGAAATGCATTCGTAGTCAACATGATTGTTTCCCAACTAAAACTGACACTAAGTAGCCTCTTGATCTCGGTTTCTATGGCTAAACATTGATGGATTTGTAAAACAGAATCACATTCATCAAAAAGCATCATTACTAGAACAGTTAACAAAAAGTATGCTATGTTTAGGAATGATGTCAGGGGCAGGGAATACATCTGATTACTGACCTGCTGTTACCAGATTACTACAGGAACCAGGGTTTCTAAGGAAACCACATTTTACAGTTAGCTGTGTTACATGGTTTCCTAAGTGCATGTACGTGTACTGAAGAAATGACCCAACAAATATGTTAAAAAGCCTAGTCAGGGTTAATCAATAATCAATTTTACATCTTATCTTAACCTTAACTAAACCTAACTGTAACTCAAAAGGAACCTTTGTTTTAGGAAACATCCTCACATTGCAAAAAATCTCAATCTGACAACCAAAGCTTGTTCTTACAGGGATGGAAATACAAACACACACACACCCATTCACAAACACAGTATCAAACACACTCACACACCACTAATTATTGATTCAACCACAGAAAGGCCCCAACATGGTTTTCTACCAATGGACATAATCATGAAAAGAAAACAAAATCAGCTCCATTGTACGGTGCAGATGGCTCTGAGGCCACTTACTGCAGTGCGCTGTGGTTCGCTCTGTAACCGCGCTGATGAAATATTCAGCGAGGAACAACTCAGACACCTAAAGGTTTCGGTTACACTGGCAAGGTCCCTGTTTCTTTATCTCGACATACATGACAACATAAACATACACAAAGGGGGGCCATTCATTTTTAATGAGGTACATTAATTAATAACCCAGACCCGACCCCACTCACACTACTGGTTTCCCTGGGTGGGCAGGACAGGGTAGGAGTAAGGGGGATTTAAAGCTGTTCCCTCCTCTGAGAGAACGTTTGGTGACAATGTGAAGGAGAAGACACTGAGATAAAGCAGCCAGCAGAGGAGGAGAATCCAGGATTATCATATTGAATACGAGAGGGGGTTGAAAGGAGGATACGCAGTCTGGGTAAGTGTCGCATCTGAAACCAAAGGGGACATTTCTCTGAACTGAGGTGGGGGTCATGCCCTAACCCCAAGCTCTGACTCTCACACAAGCTGCTTAACATCCACACTCTGTCACCACATGCAGACCCCAGCCAGCGCTCTCACACACACTTTACACGCAGAAGCTGTGCTCGTCGAAGTGACCTGAAAAAACCAGCCTCATTCACACAAGTGATGTATCGACTAAGACCCCCGCCAGCACGGGGAGGGGTGCAAAAACATGTCTCGTGCTCGGGGTTATTATGTTTGGGACACACTGCTGTCACGATGGCCCAAACCAATTGCCTTCTGCCGCGGTGTCTGCTCTACTGAATCTTTCAGATGGATGGGTCAAATCTGCAGATCATGAGCCATAGAAATGGGGCTGATGCCGGCGAAAGGGGAACAATCGATTGACGAGAAGGCACTTATGCACATAGTTAGATGACAGTAAAACGTAGCAATTCATTTCTTTTGACAGCTTAAAAGGATAATGGTTCGTATCATTAAAAACATCCTTTTTAAATATGAACATTTCCTATCAACAGTCCCATCAAAATCTTTGTTTCTCAGCATGTTCATACAAAAAGAAGACACTTAATCTCCCAAAAGTCCCACCGTGTCACTGTCTCAAGAGTAGAACAGCCTCCCTTTCTCTGAGCCCTGCAGCCTGCTGAGCTTGGCGAGCTGAGAGGGCGACGGGGGTACGTCCTGTCTGTAGGGGCCCTTGGTCTGAGGAGCGGCCTGCATCGGGGCGGGGCCAGGGGCCTGAGTGTGTTCTCTGCTGTGGTCGTAGGCGATGCTGCTGGGGGTCTCCTGCATGGAGGCAGGCCTGGACTTGGCTTCCTGCTCTCTGCGCCTCTGCTCCTGCCTCAGCAGCTCCTGAGTCTCTAAGAGGGCACGAGCATTGAAGTTGGACGTCCCCAGGTATCCGTTACGTGACCCCTGGCTGGAAAGGTGGCGAGGGTTCTCCTTGGATGGCTGCAATCCATCTTCAGGCATGTACACCTTGTCCCATGAGTCCTGGGACTCCGTGCTGGGGGTCTTATGGGGTGGCCTAAACACACAAAGGCAGGTAAAGAGGTTAATCGCACCGTTGAGTGAGTCACCTTAAACAGAACCTGGATCTAAAGTGACCGGAGGAGGAGCTCCGAAAAAGATTGCTTTTTTTCTGTAGCGGCCCCTGGGTCAGTGCTATTGAAGGGGAATTCAAAAGAAACTGCACTTCAGCAGACAATGTGTCCATTGTCACATTTTGTGACATTAAAAGGGGGATGTGGTGGTGGTGGTGTTGAGTTAAAATACTAGAGGCAACGTGAGTGGAGCAAAGAGGGATCTGTTATAGCCTGCTGAATGATTACACTGAATCCTGTTATTTGAAGACGGAGATCTGAAAGAGACAGGAAACAAACGCGGGGAAGCCTGAACCGCCATCAGCACTATTAGTTCCACGTCGTAAACAAACACAAATGTTAAAACCACGCTGAGAAAAATGGCTGCTTTCATCCATTTAACTATTTTTTGGAGATGCAGACGGGTGCACTTACAGCACAGACAGGGTAATGGCAGGCCTTCTACTCTCCTTCAGTCTGCCTGCCGGCCTCTACACTGACACAAGGGCCCAACATGCACACATATTGTCTCTAATAGAAAAAAAGAAACTTCCAAGTATGCCTTCTGCCACACATGCTCCCTTTTCTGGAAATTGGCCATGGAAAGCTGTCAATACGACCCGCGGGGTCTTTGGACAAAGTGTTGAGTCTGCTCCTCCATTATTAGCACCCATTAGGGTAGAGACCTGTGACAGTGTCTTTTGCGTCAGAGGTGCTATGAGAAATCCCATTCACACCTCCCTGACCCGCAGTGTGCTTAAAAAGCTTTTTAGATCACAGCACACAATCCTGCAGAGGGAGGCAGGGGCCCGGCATGCTTTTAGGCCAAAAAAGTCTGCATTTCTTATCTGACGAGGCTCATTGCAGAGAGACTGACTGGAACACAAAACAGGCTATTTTTTGGGCCAAAACACTTTCCTGACAAAATAAAGTGTGATAAAATAAAAATATGTCACTTTTATACTGGAAGTCACACCTCACAATGGATATAATAGCGAGCAATTCTACCTTGACCTTTGGTTTCTTTTTCTCTGTGCTTCAATGTTGAATGGAAAAGAGAAAACAGTTTACAGAACCAGGTTGGTTAATAGCTGAACACCAAGGATATGTTATCTACTTGTGTAGCATGTGACTTCTGACTCAACCACAGTAGTCTCCTATTCAGTAATCAGAAAAAAGAAATCTAACGTTATAATAGTCAATGTAATGTCATTATAGTCTTTGACTTTAGGTACAAGCATACACGGCTGTCTCTCTGTACCACACAGTTAACTCATTTAGTGTGAATGTAATCTATTGCTGAACCAAGCTGACTATAATGACGTAGATATGTCTGCCATTAAACCCCTTGGGTCAAGCCTAGATCCAGCTTAGGGATTTTAATAACAAATATGAATTCCTGTACTTTTTTCTTCTTTCTTGCCAGTTAATTCAACACTCCCTAAAACATATCTCCATGTGATTCCTCAAATCCAGTGTTACTCATGAAGACCTGTGTGGTCCACAATATCTAAGTGGAGGTGAAAAGATAAAGGACACGGCTCAAGGGTCAGTATCTGTAAGCTAAGGTCTATATTTATGCATCCAAAGACAATGTGCAGAGATTGCAAAAGTACACACATCCTTTACTCAAGTAGAAGTACAGATACTCGTGTTTAAAAATACTCTGGTAAAAGTACTGACTAAACTTCTTTACTCAAGTAAAGGTAAAGAAGTATGGGCTTCGAAATGTACTTAAGTAAAAAGTACCCATAACTAGCAGCTGTTTTAAAGAGTACCTGACCTCCCTTTATATTAATAGAACAATAATGTCATTGTTAGCTAATGAATGTTTCCATGCTGAACAACGGCAACATGATAACGATTTCATTGGTCCCTCTTCTTTAGAGAAGACCAGGAAGTGATGGATACACGGATCGTGTTCAAATCAATATAGGCACGCAATGACTAAGTAATAATGATCACGCCACACACATTCAAACTAAAGTAACCACCCTTTTTTGAAAATGTAAGAAGTAGAAAGTACAGGTATTTGTGTTCAAAATGTAAGAAGTAAAAGTAAAAAGTCGTCAGAAAAATACGTAATGGAGTAAATTACTGATACCAGAAAAATGTACTTAAGTACAGTAACGAAGTATTTGTACTCCACTACTTCCCACCTCTGCAAATGTGTATGCACTTATGTACCGTACTGTACAACACAAACACATTATCTGGTTCCGCTCCGTATGTGTGTGCACGCATGTAGAGCCTGTGTAAGTATGAGGGTAATTGGCGGAGGGGCAGATGTAGGGACAGACTGCGGAGAGAGCCCCACCACATGCTTCATATCTGGGTCTTTCTGTCTGGGCGAGCCGCCATGCATTTACACCCCGTCTTGGCTTACAAAGCGGCCAGCGCCGCTCAGGAGGGAGCAGCGTATTTAGAAACCCAGGACGCCTGTTGCACGAGGCAGCAATCTGCATTTCCAGAATGACCCTTTCGGTTTTTAAAGTCAAAAAAGGGAGATTTAGGGGGAAAGTCTTCGGTGGCGATAAGAGCAGAACAGAAATGGCATTGTTCCACAGGAATGTAATCGTGATTGATGTGTCAGGGGAGTCAGTTCTCTTATCACCTCGACTCCTTTGCCAGAATATGTCACAAAGTAGATTAGTTACATCTACAGAGGGAGGGGATGGGAAAATACATCATGCCAAAGACTGGGGTAAATTTAGAATGACAGAACATAACAAACAAAGCCAGGAAGTTGGCTTGCAGGAGAATTTGTGGCCGCCGTGTGTTTCTTTAAAACAGCTGGGAAGAATCAGAGTTTATGAGAAGGAGGAGAAAGCACACATACATGCACAGACACAAAATGATTAGGGGAAAAAACCCAAATGCGTGCAATGGGCAGTGGAACAATTGTAGCTATATTGTGCAAATAAATTGTCTACAAACCTGGAATAATGTTTTCTTTACAATGCGTTAGCGGAGGAATGCAAAGAGCTGCATGGAAAGAGGGAAGAGCTACTGGCGGTTCACACAGGCCACATTTAAGAACCTTATCTTGACCACATTCATCATGTGTGTGTGAGAACGTCTCTTTCAGGCTAATCAGTTGTTTTCTCTTTCCTCCTAACTCACTCGTTCCTCTCCCGGCCCCCTCTCGCCCTCCACTGCCTGTCACCGCTAATCCTGCTCCGACAACAAGCCTTCATTAGTGCTCTTCCAATACTCACATCCCAGACAGCCAGCTAAGCCTGGCCGTCATCAGATAACCATGGTTTCTCCTGGAAGCTCTTTAGGAGGAAGGTTTTTTTTCTTTCTGCGGGAATGTCCCCTTTCGACTGAACGGCTGACTGCTCAGCTTCCTGTTTTGGAAGAGGAGGACAGGATGAAGGGGTTCCAAAGGAGAGGTGGTTGGAGTTAGAGGCAATTGTGGTTATTAATCTGGGGATGTGAGACTTTAGCTCTTTAATGAGGAGCTGTGCCGAGACACAATCTCTAGAAAGCTTTAGCCAGGGTCAAACGTCAAGCCTGAGCTCATGCGACTCTTCGCTAAAAGACGCTGTGAGATTATGAGCGGAATGCATATCAAAGGCCACCCTCGCCTGGCTCTTTGGCCGGCCGGACCAACTTTCCCAAGAGAAGGAGCTCAGTGAGAGGGGAGGGCTGGAGGCAACTGTCACATCACATGAGATGCCAGCAGATAACACCTATGAAGTGAATGCACAGATCCCTCAGGCTTATACAGGCCACATTGATTATGCGTCCACGTGGACCGCAAATCCATAGCCATAGACAGGAACATGTTTTAATCGACCTGCCGGTGACTGTTCAGAGACAGCACAGCTAAAAAAAATTATCTGTGCAGGGAGAGATACAATCACAAGAGAGTACAGTTACTCTGGTCAAGAAATTAAAAGACCACACACACACACACACACACACACACACACACACACACACACACACACACACACACACACACACACACACACACACACACACACACACACACACACACACACACACACACACACACACACACACACACACACACACACACACACACACACACACACACACACACACACACACACACACACCACACACACACACACACACACACACACACACACACACACACACACACACACACACACACACACACACACACACACACACACACACACACACAATTTAAGTTCCGTCTTTGTTTAAACTGGCAAAGAAGTAGAACTCAAATAAATCACACTTCACTTTCAACATTTCAGAACATTTCACGATACAAAAAAACTCACATTGGATTGTTTTCAATGAGGAGATATTAAACAGGGAGAGGAAATTATGTGTTATTCATGACCGAACATCTCTGCGTCCCTTTATCAAAGTATATAATTTAGGTCTTTGGTGACTTTGTTTCCAAAGATGTAGAACTTAAAATGCAGATATTCCACAAGAAAATGGTTTGCAATTGGAATTGACTTAAGTGAGCTTCAGAGGATTGGATGAGTCACATACGGAAACGCAGGAAATGCAAATACCGATACTAAACTCTGCCTCACCGCCTCGAGATGAAAGATATGGTAAGCTTTATTGGCATGTCTTTGAAATATATGCAAAAGTATTGAAACAGGAAGATGAAGAAGATGAAGGGCAGCGGTTGTAGCTCTGAACTCATGTTGTGTCGGCAGAGAGAGATTGCTAAGAAAATGATTCCACTCATTTCACCACTTCCACAGGGTCAACATTGACTTAATGAAAGTGGATATCAGTCAAATAACTCCAAGCGATCACATTAAATGATTTCATTCAAAGAGTTGTGCTAAGAGTCATTCAAATGTCTGTAGGAGGCTTTGTGATTGACTTTGTAATCAAAGAAAGTGTAGAGAAAAAGGATAAAGGCACAAAAATGAGGGAAAGAAATTGATAAAAGTCAAAAGGGCAGTAGGAATGTGATAAGCCTCAGAAAGGAGAGACAGATAGAACAAAGAAGGGAGAGGAGGTCTCACCGTGGCAGGGAGCTGAACTGTCTCTGTGCTTGTTGGAAATCATCTTCTTGCGGCTGCTGCGAGTCAACGTTTACTGAATGGCATCCGCTCAGTGGTTCCGTCCCATTGCTCGACTGTAAAATCCACACAATGAAAAGATAGAGTTACTATAAAATCAAATGAAACCTTAGATAGCTGACATTTCTGTCGTTGGACACACATCTGGTAACAGATAACACACTCAAATACAAAAACACTTAGATGATGGAATATGTTTCCCTTAGCACAGCAGTTGGTGTGTCAGTGTGATGCCTCCTGTGTGTTAGGCAACACTCAGGGACCAGGTAGTTAGGAGGTGTGATTCCATGATGAAAATGACACTGCACAATGCACCTGTGATATTAATTACGTATCCTTGGTTGACTTACTAGAATGCCAGGCAGCACAGTTCGCATTAACATTTTTAATTCAGAAGAGACTTACAAAAGTGACAGCAGTATGACATTTAATAATAATAACGTGCAGATAATAAAGGACTTTTTCTTTCTGGAATGTCTACAAGTCAAAGGGATTATTGTCCCATTTGTCATAACAGCAACAAATACTGCGTTGTGAGAGAATGTCATGATGATTGACTTAAAAATACAGATGATTATAGCTTGTTGGTTCCAATATTCAAAAAGCGTATGTCCAGAAACAGCGGTAGGATTCTTCTTGTTAGTAGACGTATCATACAATTCTCAGGTAAATAAATAAATAAATGTATTATTAAAAAAAAATGGGTGAAAAAACATTTACAATTTCTACATAAATAATGACTTTGGAGCTAAAAACATGTTCCTTGTAGGATTTTAAATGAATGTGTTGTTACTGTACATTACACTCAAGATCAGTGCTAATTACATGATATGAAATGTAATATGATAGTGTAATATTGTGCTAAATGTGTGCAGTGTATTTCTGAAGTAGTAGTAAGCACTAGCATGCTGAACACATTAAATATAGATGAGTTTCCCCGGTAACTGCTTCATTTCACAGCTTTGCGTGTGACTTGACTACGCACCACTAACCTGTACCGTGTGTGTGTTTGTTGTCTGATCGTCTGTGTGGTTGACATGGCGATATCATCTCCCTCAACACTAGCGCACTGCTAACGAGCTGGCTGATGAAAGAACACGACAAGCCAATTAAACAGAGGCGAGCTGAGGAGCTGTGGCCTGACCGAGTGTCACTTTTCATAAGGCTCAGACGCTAATGTGGTAGGCAGGTGAGGGTGTGGATTCTGAGATTTAAATTGGAACAGAGCACTTACAGAATAAGTGTTTTTCTTTTGTCTGGGATGACACTTTTAGAGATTCTTAAAAGTGTTTGTGTTTGGGGGTGGTTGGAAGAAGACAGGTAGTCGTAGTGCATGACAGAACAGATTGATGGGGTAAAGGTATGTTTGCGATAGACAGCAAAAATGTCTTGGAAACATCTTGTATTCTTGAAATGGCTGCTTTCCTCCTCACTTGGACAGCTGCAATAACAGCGCAATTACATTTCACTCAGCGTTAATAACAAGTCTTTTCTCAAGCCGTCCAATTCCTTAAAAATAACAGTATTCCACGTGGGTGAAGTGAATTGGACTCATGTGTTTTGGGTTTCACTGTAACAACACGTTCCGCCCGGCTCAGAAAGTGCAGAGCACATAAACGAATATCAGATGAACAGTGAGGTAAAAGGATGAATTATTTAACTGCGGCCCAATGTGGTGGTGAGAAAATAATTAGTCATGCACACTAAAAGTTTTTAATGGGATTTGAAGGGGAAGTGGCGAGGAATCCGGAGGTGCTTGACACTTCGGTTTAAAACTGAAGGGTTGAGGTGTATGACGCCATGCCAAGAGAAATGCATGAGAAATAGCCAGGAGAGAAAATCAGTCAGTGTAATGGCATTATCAGGGAAGGAGAATCAGATTATTCCATGTTAGGCCCTGGAATACAATGCCATATAAAACATGACATTTGTTGAAATCGAATCAAAGAGACGTCCGTGTTTGTTTCTATCCAATAATGTGAAAAATGATGTCAATACAGCACGCTTTTATCCCTCTCCTTTTCTTGGTGGTGTGACAGACAAAGGAGGGAGGAAGAAAAAAAAGAAATCTCCACCTGTTCAAACATGAGAGCGTTCACAGACGGTGAGTCGGGGGGGACATAATTATGAAAATTATTTGCAGCTATCAAAAATCAGAGTCCAGGAAAGCAGCTGGGAAGGCGTTGAGCTTTAAGAGTTCCAAGGTGTAATATTTCTTGGTTCAGTCTTGGTCACAGACCTTTCAGATTTCAAAGCCGCTTGCTGAGATGGGTCAGCTAACATGTGGCTTTTCCGCCTACACTCCTCATGATGCTCTGTTTGTAGCCCTGCACATAGGGAACAGTTTTAAGAGAAGCCCTGCTGTACACAAACAGACATATGGAACACATTTAAGTTGCTAATGGGCAGAGAACAAGAAGAAAGTGAGAAAAAAGTGAAAACCACATCCTGACAAAAGCACAGTTGGATAATGATTCACTGTTAAAGTCCATGACCCAATTCTGCCAATGTATTAAGAGCAAACCAAGTCCATTTGTGGTCGCCGGGGTGTGTAGCTCCGGGGCGTAGCATCCATCTGAGAGCAAGCAGTGTGGTGCCGTCTCCCACTCGCTGGCCCAGGAAACCATGGTGAATGAAGCGGTGGCTATCTCCAATATCACTCGACAGCATGCACAAATGGCAGAACAAAATGTTGGAGCCTTATCTTTTATTGTGAAGATATCTGTGTGGGGTAATAATCCTGAAATGCATTATTATGTCGACACAAGAGAAGTGTAATCACTTTGTTCTCCTCTACTCCCTCTGTTCTTAGTCTTATCTGTGAACACACACATACAGTTTGATATCAAAGTATATGGAGTGCAATATAAAATGGGTGGGCCTGCATACATCTACAGTATGCACATTCACAGTGTGAGTGTGAGTGATGATCAGATGTGTTTGGAACAATGCAACAATATTGCATTTTCCATAAATAAATTCATGTCATACCCACAGACAAGTTAAAGGACTCTAAGATTGTGAGTTGTTGTTCAAGTACGTTGGCAAGCCCTGTTGCTTATGGTTGTTGTAATCACAACATCAGTAAATCATGCTTGCTACATGCATTACATTGAACAGCAATATCCATAATTCAGCCATGCATGTTGGGTTAGCAAGCAATCTGGGAAGAAGCTCAACAAAAGATCGATCCAAATCACCATAATTGACATAAAAATATACAGTCAGCTTGTTTTTGGGGATTGAGATAGTAGCGAATAGTACCATGACATAGTCCATGTGTCCAAGATCAATCTTAAGGAGAGGGAGAATCGTCTCAGCACTATAAAAAGAAGCATCGCAGTTACAATCAAGAGTGGCTAAAGGATTTCCCTGCTGCTTTTTACAGTATGTTACGCTCCTCTTTTGCAAAGTCAGTGTGATCAAACTGTGAAAAACAGCATGTAGAGTCGACTGGCATTTGCTATGTAACAAAATATGTGAGAAAGAGATTTTTTGAATCATCTAGGACCTAAAAAAACGCTCCACCATAAATGATGTGACTACTTACAGTACTACTCACACTGCTGTTGTCTTAACTCTAGCCTTTAGCCCATGTGAAGTCAACAGAACTGTGGGATACCCAATCAAACGCCCAGAAACCCAAGATTGCGCAAACACAACAGATGTTTAGAGGCGCATGTATCCTGGTAGCAGTAGATAGAAGGGTAATAAAATCAAAATAATTTCCATAAATAAGGGAGCTATAGGCTGCTGTTAGTGTGTTTGATCCAAGGTACCAGCATGGCGCTCACACTCCTCTGTGTGGTCATGCTCATTGGCGCTCCAAGCCAACAGCACAAATTGATTTTATTGCCGCAGACAGAGAGCGAGAGAGAAAAAGGCAACTCTTTGGAAAACACATCGCGCTTTATGATGAACATCTGGAAATCCCCTCTCACAGAGCAGCGGGGAGGGAGGGAGAGAAAACATGCCAGCTCTAATTGTGTGCGTTGGCTTGGGGGCTTCATGATGGACAGGGCTTCTCGTGCCCTGGTCATTATTCCATTAAGGAGGAGCCAGGGGTTCGAGGACTGACCCAAGCATTGTCATCACAGGCGTTCACAGCGGACATACCTGAGCGCGGTCTCAAACACCCCGGAGACAAGCCAGGGGTCAACCCAGAGAGGGAGCCTCACACCTCACGCTGCTCCATGGGCTCCCTTGCAATCTGTTCCTCATTTTCATGATCATTATAATGTACTTTTGCTGTTTGTCCTCCAAATGTGAAAGATTTTTGAAGAGGTGATATATAACAGCTGTCTGCGCAGAGGAAGACATTTGGTAATAGTGAGTAATGACGAATAAATTAAATACCACTGAGTATCTGCAGTATTAACTTGCACTATGGCCTTTTTATGCTCACAATGTACGGATGAATGGACTGGCAAGACAACTACATCCTAACTAATGTTCACAAAAAAAGATAGTGGTTCGTTTGTTCAGCAAAGTATATTACAGCAGTATCAAAACTATAGCTTTAGCCACAACAAATTGAGATCTACATTTTCATAACATCTGGGTAAACTCTGTCTGAAGGTCCAGCTGCTAATAAATGGACCTTGAGGTGAGATTGCTGTGTCTTACTTACTTTAATCATCATTTTTGGATAAGTGAGGGAGAAAAGTGTTTGTTTTTATAGAAATATACGGCATAAATATAACAACCTGGCCATGCCTCTAGATGCTAGCAGCTGCTCCTGTTCTGGCATGCAGATCTGTGTGGAAACCATTATGTTGTAACCTTGAGTACTCAGGGACAACTTGCTTCAAAGTGTAGCTTTGCCGACTCTGATTTGGTGCGCATTTAACTTTCTTCTTGAGCAGCTTGCCTTTTCATGGTTACATTCACTGAAGGCTTGGAGTGGAGGTCACAGAGGTTTCACTTTCATTGCGGACAAAATATAGCATTGACAGTGTGCAAAATCATTTAAAAAAAAGAGAGATATATCAATTTCTGGACAAAAGGTAACCTTTATAGGTCAGCACAGAACACAGTCACAAGGTTGTGTTTTTCAGTGTGGGCCAGTCTGATATATGAAAGCTGCGAGTGAAGAATGTAAGTGTATTTGACCTTCTAGCCCTGCGTGTGTCTGTACATCTTGGAAAGCTTTTTAATCTTTTTTCCAAAATGGCTAAAATGTGTTTTTTCTTCTACAGTTCTCCTGGTTTTCATTTCACATCTTTGGCCCCTCTGCCTCAAATAAAGCATCCTGCTTTTTGGATGACACTAAGACAGGATTTCTCTCGAGTTCCACTAATCGGTGTCAACCCGTAGCATGGGCACGCCAGTATCTTCGCTAACAAGCCCTGCCTTTGTGAATCCTTGTTCACAGGACTATAATAACATGAAAGAGGACTAATAAAATCGACTTCAATACTCCAGGGCTGGCCCTATATCTTATTACCAGTGGAGTAGAGCGGGTAACTCAACAATGTCAACAATCACAAGCAATTAGGAGCTCAGAAGCTCAGAGAGACACACTGCTTAGTGCTGAACAAACAGTTAGCATCCCACTTTGTGAGCCAGAATGGAAAGAGAGCGATTAAGAAAAAAGTGTGGAGAGATGTCGGCTTTCAGTGATTTTACACCATCAATAGGACTAACACTGACTGAAATCCAGAGCACACAAAGTCTTCCTTTTTCTCTATAAACGTGGTGGGAAGTGTGCAGCTATGTCTACCAAACGCATTCAGACAAAAGGAAAAACAGCTAAAGATCACTGCCACATTAGAACTCCACTCCAAACCAATTTCACTGACACACTGACATCGATAATTGGATGCCAAATATTTTAACTTTCAAGGTCTGACATTCTGACCTATCATTTAGAAAATAGCTCTGCCTGGTGTAACAATTAGCCCTCTTTCCTCTACCACCAGGTCAGAAAGGTCACAGAACAGAAAAAGCGATGTCTGTCTCAAAGCATTAAATCACAAAAAGATATACAAAATATTTGACCTCGAACTTGTTCCTGCTTTGGCTCAGTTTTGTTTGGTTATAGTTGAACATAAGGAGGACATATGACCTTAAATAAAGTGTCAACCAATGAGTTATGTCTCTAACAAAGTTAGAAGAGGGATTTAAGTAAATATTGTTCCAGTATGTTAAGATAATCGGTGATATAATAGGGTGTGAGGAAAGATGAAAGTGTCTCTTTTTTACTTAAACTCTGGGCGCAGTTGCACAGCAGGATGGAATCAGGTCTGAAGGAATTAACTTATTACATTTTTCCAATTATGAGGATTAAATCCCATTGTTGGTACAGATCAATCAGGAGAAAAAACTCTAACATTTTAATTTAAAACATGGTTAATTTAAAAATCCCTTTAATCAAGACTATTGGAAATGGAAATGAATAGTGTTGCTCACGGTCTTCAATTTTTTTCCCCTTACTTTGCCTTAAGTCCTAAAAATTCATTTATCATCGAACATTTCCCGTTTCCATCTTCTTCTTCCTGCCGTACTGCAAGTGTATCATATTTCCTCGACAGTGAAGTCAGATGTGAGTAATGAGCAATTAGATCTAGGTCAAAGGTCGGACCCGGGAATGAGAAATAAGTCAACTATATTTGGCAGAAGTTGGGGCTGAAGCCGAACGTTTTAGTGACATAATTTGGCAGTGGTACAACACTGACGGTCCAAAAAGATGACAGTGTAAGATAATTGAGGCACTTCATGAAACTATTGACAGTTAATGTCGTGCCGGGGCTTCGTACTGTGAAACATCAACTTGAATTCCTTTCCCAAGTCATATTGTTATAATTTCAACATGGCATGCTGGGATTTATGACCCTACTTAATTGCAACGTGCAAATATTCAAAACAACATGTCTTCTTCAAGTATGATTGCTTGGAACAATTCATATGGATGCTCAGTGGGTTTTTGATTTGGTACATCTGTTGGAAAAAATGTAATGTCATATTTTGTATCTATTGTTTATTATTACACTTCTAATCTTTAAGAGGGACTACCAATATTGATATGTTCTGTTTGTAACATTGAATTACCTCCAAACAATGAAATAATTATGCTGTTTAACAGAGAACGCAAACTCTTATCAAAGTAAAGTAATGTCACACGTAGATAGTCAAAGAAATACGATTCAGAATTAAACAATTTGAGTGAAATAAATCCAGCTGGTGGAGATAATCTGAGTCCAGCAGAGAGTCGGGGGTGTCACTCTAAGAGCTCTGGGTTTAAGGGTGTTTTGGAGAATGTGTATCTGGGTGTGTGCAGCTCAGTGCCACACCAGTGGAGTGCAGATTCTAAGGAACACTCACCCAGGACTGGTTGAAGCTGTAGGTGTGCCTGTGGTCGTCCACATCGTCCTCGTGCCTGGCATGCTGGAACTCGTTCCTCAGCCTCACTATCCGGTCGTGATTACTGGGAGCCATCTGGCTGCTGTGAGGGGGAAAGAAGACGTGAGATAGTTGGACTAGATCAGGGGTGTCCAAACTTTTTTCACCGAGGGCCACATACAGAAAAATATGCGAAGGGCTGGGCCACTCAGGTATATAGCCTCATAAATTCAGTTATAAGTCAGCAAAATCAAATGAAGGTAAATGCTGCTTGATACTTGGAAATGCCTTAAGAAAAAAACAGCCTACATCACAGCTCTCCATAGGGTTTCATTTATTTTGTTACAAAAAGCGTTCAGCTCATCCCTTAAAACAGAAGCCTCAGATTGCTCATAATAAGGGGAAACATGGCTTTTTTTCTTATCAACTTAGATTAGTTAGAAAAAATGTCCAACTTGAATTGACTGAATGTATTTGAAAAGTGGGCTTATTAACACATGAATACTACTGTGTAATATATGTTTACATATATCTTATGAAGTACAATATAAGACGAGCACAAGTTTCATTTGTGGGCCATATTCTATTATACTTTTTGAATTTGCTGAGGGCCGATTCAAAATGGTCCCCGCGCCGTAGTTTGGACACCCCTGGACTAGATGTTTCACAGCATGCTTAGCGGTTATCACCCTCACAAAGAAATATACCTGACACATTACTCTGCTTTTCTTGGTGCTTTATCATATCTGAATAATTCACTTGACCACCTTAACACCCCTGTAAATTGTCTTGAGGATCCCTTGATCTGACAGTCACGATTCCCTTTTGCATACCTATCTGACATCCCTATGTGCTTTTTCTTCCCATCCTCCCTTCTTCCAGCCTTTGCTCCTGAACATCCCTGTAACTGAAAGTATCCCTCGTGCACGATTGTGAGTGATCCATGTCCCTTTTAGACTGCAGGAGAATGTTGGCCTTTTATGGTACGTAGTTATTAAACACTGTGGAAAACCCTCATTTACATCCCCTTCATTAAAGGCCTTTGAGGGGCCTGTCAATAGGAATCAATAGCCTTCCTTCAGCTTAACCAGGCTCTCCTTTTATCTACAGCTACAGAGGCAGCACATGACAAAATGCATAATTATGGTGAGACAACTAGCTTGATAATGGGCCTGTATTGATGCATACCACAAGGATGAGAGTGACCAAAGGTTAGACATGTTTGTTGGGAGGGGATGGGAGCTCAGGGATGTAGGGAATGCGATGGATAGGTTGAATGAAGGAAAGGGAGATACAAGTAGAAGAGTGTTCTCTGGGTTGGCGCTTAGTGAAAAAGGGAAAGGTTAATCAAGAGCATGTGAGAGTAGGGGAAGAAAAGGAAGTGAGCCAAGACCCGTTACCCTGTCATTCTGCGTGTCCTCCTGAGGAGCACTTACAGGTGGCACGCCAGCCGTGGGAGTGATTGCTTATTTGGGCCCAGAGGATTCTGGGTGCAATTATGGTGATAATTGCAGATTAGAATGAGCACATCCTTCCGATGATAATGGGCACTAGGACATGCTGCCAATCAAGCTTCATTAAAAGCACAATAAATAGCAGCTCATAAAGGATGAACGGATCTTCTGTGCATGCCCCTGAGTAGCACTTGGCGAGACACGGTTATCATGTTATTCGTACTGCCTGATCAAAATCAATTGTATTAGTTATAGTCCATTTGATTCCTACAGCTCTATGTGTGTTGGAGAGCAGCGAGCGTACATTAAAGCCTTTTATGTGGATGTGGCCAATTAAGTGGCTCATTGGGGTGTGAGGTGGCTTATACTTGTGGGGTGATGGTGAAGCCCTTCTATTTATGTTCATTACAAAATCAATGTTGCTTTTATATTGGCATGTGGTTTCTTAAATAGCATATGCGATGTTAGAGAAATGTAATGACTTAATTGAATACTTTAAACTACAGAGCCACTTACATAAAATAACACAAATATTAGCTGTTTCTGTATGGCTACTATTGCAATTAACTCCATATGTACATTGAGTCCGTTAAAATTCATAACATGAATTAACACGGAATAATTCAAGGTTTCCCCAATGGCATGTGCTGAGAAAGTGTACATTGTACATACAGCATGCACTTGAGAAGAAAATGAAAAGACACATCTGCATTTCTGAATTAATGTTCTTAACATTTCCCAAAGATATGCCTGCTAATACATCTGTTGAATTACATTACATGTCATCTTATATGCTGGAAAAAGAGTTTGACAAGACTTAATGGATGGGAAAAGACCAAACATAGATCTGGGAAGTCCAATACATGCAATTAGTTTAATCCCTGAGGCTGGTCAAAGAGAAGACTGGGCTGACTCCAAACAAACAGCATCGTAAATTGTTCTCTTTGACCCTCTAGGGAGGGTCAGTGCTAGCATCAGCATCTCATACATGCACCACTGGGCGAGAGGAAGCAGAGGGGGCAGTGGGAACCAGCTGGGGATCCAGAACAAGGAGCCACAAAACAGGCAGTAAAAAAAGACTGCTCGAGTCCATATACACGTCCTACATAAAGGACCTATTGCCCTTCTCTCACCCACTAGAGCATTCATCTAAGCAAGAGCCTGTATATTACTACATTTCTGCTCCAGTGTGTGATGGATGTAGGGAAATGGGAGAAGATCAGCGAAGACAAGATCTCCGGCAAATCAAAGAACTAGCAGCAAGGCACTTTAATATATTTTTCAAAGTGCTACAAATGAAAATTGCATCGCGTAGGGACTGGGAGTGGGGGCGGGATTTAAGGAGGGCTGAATTTGTCATGGCAGTTCAAAGGAGGCCTGTGCAATATCTAGATTATCTGCAGGGGCTTCTCATCTTCGTCCTCCATCCTCCATGGGGGTACCAAGTTGATGGGTTTCTTGGAAAGCAATCCATGGCATTCTCCAGTGTAAATATATTAAAAAAAGACTGGAAAGCTAAACAGTGGGGAAGAGCAGGAATGGAGCACGAAGAGCCACCAGTATCACTGTAACAGCTGGTAGCAGGCCTGTCTCCATATATAAAGAAGATGGATTCAGCCGCCTTCCCTGAGAACTCCCTAGTGCTCGGGCACCTCAACGTGTAATTAGTCAGCATGATCGTTGCAGATGCATCAGGTTTCCCTGCTTATGTATTCCCCTGTGAATGCATCAACGACTGTAATGAACCTGCAGAAAACAATCTGTGAGAAAAAGATTGTTGGGTGAGGTGACACTTTACGGCAGTAGACCACCTCAGCAATTAGGATGAATATGTCACCCCAGCCAGCAATAGATGGGTGTTTGGGAATATGAATGAGCTGCTCATCGGTTTGCTATAAGCCACATGTTTGTGCATAAGGGGGAAAGGTCACAGGTTGTGTTTGAGTGTACTCAGGGGTACAGGCAGGCTGTCTGCATCATGATCGTATGAGTCCCAGAGCTGTTTTCGGAAAATGGGATTCCGCCCATGAAGTATTTTTAAAAAGCAGATTAAATATCCATACGCCACAGCCTTTTCACACTTAACATCTTCATTCTGTACTGTATAATGAGATGCGAGATTCATCTGAGTGTTCACAAGCTAACATATCAGCATGAGGCCTCTCCCAAATGCATGAAAACTTAGCCCATGGAACGCTTGGATGTAGAAACAGAGTCACAAAGAAGCCGATGCACATTCTCCCTCTGCCAGTCTATCTTCTCCTCACTTCACACGCGCTTGTATTCTGTAAAGTCACACCGCTGCTGTATTTATAGCTTGGCTGATAGCATATTCTGAAGGCTTATTTCGAGAGGTGAACTTGTGAAATAACAGGCAGGAAGAGGGTCAAACAAAATGGATTCAGGTCCATCTGAACAACAAAACCCTCTACTGATCACTTCCTCCTGCTGCGAATCCTCTCCCGTATTAGGCAAGCATTAAGAAAGGAAGGGAAATGCCAAGAAACACTTCATTCACAACACATACCAATTCATACTGGAGCAAATGTGTTAGTGCTTTTGTTTAATGAACCAATACAAGAGTCTATTTGCATGTGTGACCCACATCCCACCTGTGTTTTCCAACCTGACTCGTTGACAGGGGTCATGAGCCCTCTAAAGCTGCAGTTGGGGGTATGCGATGGCCTGTCTGTGTAATAGTCATCCTTTGATCCAGGAGGATTTGGCAGATGTCTCACACACCACAAGGCTTAGGCCAAGGATGCAAACTATGACACAGCCCCCCCCCCCACCCTTCTTGCTTCTGTTGGTGGAATCAAAGCTGCGCGGATTCTCGGCATGCTCTATAAACACTGCCACTGGCTAATAAAGGAGTAATCCAATCACTGAGAGTGTAACATGGATCATGTGAGCATACCTAAGGTCAGGGGCCAGTGCCAGCCAATCAGAATGGTAGAACAGAGTGTTATAATCCTCGGGGTACAATTTCAACAGAAGTTTGACAGGAGTTCCGAGAATTGTCACAGACTTGTTCATCTCCTAGTTAAGGGGAAAAGGCTGCACTGTTGGGGCGTTGGTGTGCCTTCAAAATCAGACAGTCTGTTATTTCTTATCTGATCAATGCTGATTGAAATTCTATCAGATAATCTGGTTTTTCGCTCTGGCCCTAGTATCTCCACGCAGCAGATGATGGGGCAGGCTTCTTAACTTTGAGCCCGTTGGCAATCTTATATCAAGTCAAAGGCTTAGCTCATATTTATTCCATCGCCCCATGGACTTTCATTTATTTCAAAGACAGAAAGATGAGGCATTTTGGGGAAGATGGACAGCCTTTGGGACCTACCGCGATGATAGAAGAGATTATATCTGCATTACCGCTGGTCATTTTCAAAGGGGAAAGGGACAAAGATAAAGTTCTTCAGAGGAATCAGCATATATCGGCCAATCTGCCATGATTCACGCAATCAAACGAAAGCATTTGAAGCATATAGCCCTCTCTCGGTCTGTCTTTTCCTCTCCACTTTCCTCTCCTTCCCATCTTCATAACAATATCCTCCAGTTCTCCTCTTGCCTCATCTTTCTCCTTTTTTATTTCTTTACTTCCCGTATGTTTTATCTCTGAATGCCTCAATACTTCTCTTTGGTTACA